AGGGTGTAAATCTTTACGGGAGTAGAAAGCCTCATCTTTCTCTTGCGGAGCGGCTGATAGAGGGGGTTATAATCATTGTAATGAAACAAAGGATATGATTTGTTAAATGTAAAACCAATGTTCTGCCCTGTAAACTTTCACGCAATTCACAATAAAAACTTTTAAAAAATGTAAAAAGCACACAAAATATATAAAAGCTTGTATCTAAATACCACCTTTTGACCTATTAGGAGTCACTGCTTTGCATATCTAAGTGAATCATTTTAATCTTGGATGTTGAGCTAATGTACATTTTGTGGGTTTCTTCGGTTTAATTTTATATTCAAACACTCCTGAACAAGTAAGCAGCTGCTTTTTCTTTAGTTTTATTGTGATATTTGAATACTGTAATTATAAATTTTACTAACAGAATTAGTGGGCTAAGCATAATTCCAGTGCTAAAATTTCTCCTTATGTGTTTGGAATCCATTTGACTCCCTGCTGAAAATTTGCTTTTCCATCCTAGATGTACTGAATCATAATCTACAGTTTGTTTAACAAGATCCCCAGTTGATACTTATGTCAGTATAGGAATCACCTGGGGATCTATAAGAATCACCTGGGGAATCTTCTTAAAATGTAGATTCTGGTTCTGCTACAATTTGATGAACCACTGACCTTGTGGTTCAAACTGATTTTGAGGTCAAAAGTGTATCCTATGGCACCACACCAGGTTCTTATTTAAAGATCATCAATTCCTTGGAGAATCTGTTCATAGAAATGGACATTCGCACCAGAAAAAAATATATGTGTATCTAATGTTTTTACATCAAAATTTTGGAGGACAAAGATTTAGTTAGATATTCATAATGTAATAGGATGTTATGTATTTCCACTTTGATTACTTATGCTTATTATCTTAATTCATTTTTCCTTCTTCCCTCCCACCCTTTCTCTAAGGTGGATACATTGCAAATAGCTTGGCAGTCATGACAGATGCACTTCATATGTTAACTGACCTAAGTGCCATCATCCTGACCCTGCTTGCTTTGTGGCTGTCTTCAAAATCACCAACCAAAAGATTCACCTTTGGATTTCATCGCTTAGGTAGGCAACTGAGGCTTTCTTTTGAATTATAATATTTTATAATAAAACCACAATTAATTATATAACCCTTGATTAACTGAAAAATTTCCAGTGATACTCTGAGTAAAGTGAATGAAAATATGTGGGTAATGTTGTCCTTGAGATGAGAGAAAGAAGAGAAAGGGCTGGCTGGTCAGAAGTTTAGGGAGTTGTATGAACTCATGAGTACTGACCTAGTGACTAGGGGCTAGGACTAAGATCTAAGCTGCCAGATGCTTTAAAGGGCAGAGAGGTGTGTGTGAACTCCCAAACTTACAGCTAGTATGCATTTGACCTAGCTTGGTTGGCTAGTTGACCAGAAGTTGAACCAAGGAAGATAAAGATGTTTGATACTGAGAACAAGTGCAAATTGCTACAATTTGTTGAACTAGACTTTTGCCTATTAATACAATGACTTAAAATTCCAACCAGAATGGAAGGATTCGTCCTTCATGCCAAGGAACAACCTTGTTTCCTCAGAGGACTGGGTTGATAGGGATGAGTAATTTAGACATTAGCTATCAAAAATGGTTGGGGGTGGGACAGGGGGAAGGCTTGTAGGATATACCCCTTGGTTGGTTGATGATGTATGGAGGGGATTGTAAACATGGCAATGAAATGATATATGATAGGATGAATGTAAAACTAATGTTCTCCCATGTAAACAATCACATAATTCACAATAAAATATTTTTTAAAAAAATGATTGGGGGGGATCCCTGTAAACACTCAATTCATAATGAAAGCTTTCAAAAAAACACTGTAAAAAAAGAGATAAATCTAATCTATATATATATATATATTTGTTCTGTCTATATACATCAAACATTTTTGCTTTGTGGATTTGTGAAAAATAAGATGTAAAGGGAAGCCACAGGGAGGAAGCAGGATGACTCTTGTTGCAGGGAGTGGACTGTAATCATTTAGAAGAAACAAAATATATGATTGGTTGAGGGCAAAGCTGATAACCTTGTGGATGGAGGGAAGAGACAGAGAGAGCAGAATAGATAAGAAAATAAAATCCTTCAATATGCTTTCTACAAGAGACACAAAAAATGATGGAGACAGAAAAGTGGCTAAACTTTTGTAACTTGGATTGAAATATAATACTTGAGGTGAGAGGGAGAAGTAAATGTTCACTACACAGTTAAATCCATGTTGTTTTGCTTGGTTTTATAAAATGTTTTGCTTGGTTTTTATAAAATGTTTTTGTAATGACATCTTTGGGACATAGGATACTTCATTTTGTACACACAATGGAATACTACAAAACATTGAAGAATAATGATGACTTTGTGAAACACCTCACAACATGGTTGAACCTGGAGGACATTATGCTGAATGAAATTAGTCATACACAGAAGGACAAATGTTGTATGAGATCAACATTGTAAAAAGTTTTTAAAAATAACTTTTCTTGGTAAGGGAAATGATCTATAATGGTTCATGGGGTAAGGAGGGAAAGTTGTTATGGAGTTGAGGGTAGACACATGTTAATAGGGTGACAGGGCAGGCAATATACAACAAGAGGGAGATTAGCAGAGGAAAGATGAAAGTAGCAGGAGACAGGGAAGAATACAATAATTAAAGTGAATAGAGGTAAATACTGTTAACTTGGTACTTGGAGAGGATTGTAACCATGTAATGAAGCAAAGTATATGATTTGTTGAATGTAAAACTGATGATCTCTATAAACCTCCACTCAATTCGTAATAAACAGTTAGGGGAAAAAAAGAAAATAGATGGGTAAGACTTACTTAGAAACATATTTCCAGGGTACATTCAGTCCAGTTGGATAAATAGTTTACACATATAAAAGTATATGGGTATTATTGTTGAGTGTCATCAAGGCAATTCTGACTCATAGCGACCCTGATAGAGTTTCCAAGGAGTTGCTTGTGGATTTGAACTGCCAACCTTTTGGTTAGCAGTCTAGTGCTTATCTTATTGTGTCACACCAAGACATTATGTGGGCATTATCTTCTAATGAAGTACCCTATGTCCCAAAGATATCATTACAAAAACATTTTATAAAAACCAAGCAAAACATTTTATAAAACCAATCAAAACAACATGGATTTAACTGTGTAGTGAACATTTACTTCTCCCTCTCACCTCAAGTATTATATTTCAATCCAAGTTACATTGACATGCAAAAGGACTGTGCAAGGTATAGAATCACCTTGCAGAAATCCTTTGGCTTTTGATCTTAGTTCTGAGAGCCCAAAGGACAGAGGCTCACCTGGGGGTCCAATGCAGACTAAGCCTCACAAGGCATGAGGCCCATAGGAGCCCGGAGCTCAGAGCCTCAGGTGGAGCATCCTTACTGAGAAGAGCAACACTTGCTTTTGTGAGGTTAATACAACCCTTTGGGACATGAATGCTTCACACTGGAATCCTCACACCTCACCCTATGGTTTCTTCATTTGTATCAATTCTTGTTATATTAAAGCTATTATTGCAGGTTTCTTCAGTGTATTGGACCCAATGTGGTAGGGGGAGTCTCCTGGGTGTGAAGTAGAAAGAGTCATTTAGACTTCTGAACTTGTAGTTGGTATCCTGAATGGTAGCATAAAACTCCAAATTTGGGAGCAGCTCTAAAGTGGGAGGAGTTATGTGGACTCTTCCAAGCTTGCTACCAGTACCTGCTGACCTAGTCCTAGGTAGCTAGGAATGAAGAAGAGAAGAGCTGTGTAGGCAGCTCAGGTCTGAGCTTACCAGAAAAGGAAAGCTGAGATTCCCACAGCATGAAGTGGTGGTGTGGAGTGGGATTTGTTATTCACAACACAATTGGACATCAGAAGTAGGTGATCTTAGTCAGCCTTGATTGGTTTGCACAGACTATAATAGCAGAAGTGTCTGTATTTGAAATATAAAATAATGTTTCCCATTTAGTATTGCAAATCATCAGTCTAGGTTAATGGCAGTGACAACGCAGGAGTCTGTTCTGGCAGTGAGTATTTCTACTGAGCAAAGACCTCTAGCAGATCTGGCTGGGTTGATAGATGACTACAATGCTAATTCTTCCTAATTTTTTTTTCTGTTGTTAGAGAAGAAAGTACTCAGTTTAAAAATCTCTTTCTGTGTACATGCAGCCAAAACAACACAATCTCTTCTCCCTAACTAATGACTCATTTTAACTTCCTGTCACCTCATCTGTTCCCTACAAAAGTGATCTCTTATCACATTTTAGTGAGAATTTAGTCGCATCAGATAAACACATCTATAGGAAAAGAATGGGTGGTTCCTAGAAATAGAAGTTTTTCTTGAGACAAGAGAAGACGTGAGTGAGGTGGTCAGTGTTAAATAGCCAGCAGTCCCCTTGAAAGTACTAAGTCCGTGGGGATGGGTTAGGAAAAATAGTAAGAAGGCAGGAAGTAGGAGATTATTTATAGTAATGTGAGGTAAAGATCCAATGACAAACTACACTTTAGCTTGACATTCTGGTGACTGTAGGCCAGTGAAAATTCTGTATGATGTCATTATCTTGAATATAGTAGGGTTGTCTATGCCTGAGTTAAAATACAAATAACCATAATACAGGTATATGTCCACAACACATTCTGTGAAATAGGACATTATGTGATTTGAACGCTGTGTGAATACCATATTAAAACCTTATGGGAGCCCAGTTCCAGTTCTCATCTCCAATGCTGCCACCACTGCTGCTGCTGCTGCTGGTAGAGGTCAGAGGCACAGGCGGTTGAAAGGGCAGAGGTGGTAGCAAAGTAAGAGAAGAGAGTGGGAGGGTGCAGAGTGCACCCAGCACTGCCTCCTGTTATGCCCACCTGAGCAGAAAGAACAGCCTGGGCCCTGAAGCCTACATCTGCCAGGTAGACAAAGTCCAGGAACCCTCACATAGAGCCATGTCCTGTCTCACCTGCCTGTATCCTATCTGTGGCCCAGTGCTGCCAGAGTCGGATTTTGGAGTTTTAATATCCATTTGTTTTTGTTAAGTGCCACGGAGTTGATTCTGTCCATAGTGACCCTTTATAGGGTTCCCAAAGAATAGCAGTGGGTTTGAACCACTGACCTGTTGGTTAGCAGTCCAGTGCTTGTCCTACAGTGTCACACCAGTACTTCATTTAAAACTGTTATTTTTGTTGTTGTTAAGTATTTTCTAACTGGTTCCAACTTGTATTGTTGATGTTAGGTGTCATTGAATTGGCACAACAGAATAAAACACTGCCTAGTCTTACACCATCCTAACATTTGTTATTACGTTTGAACTCACTATTGTTGCTACTGTGTCAAACCATTTCATTGGGGAGGGAGGTCTTCTTTTTTGCTGACCCTCCACTTTACCAAGCATGATGCCCTTCTCCAGGGATTGGTCCCTCCTGAGAATATGTCCCAAGTATGAGAGATGAAGTCTTTCCATCCTAGCTCCCAAGAAATATTCTGACTGCACTCTTCCAAGACAGTTGTTTGTTTTTCTACCTGTCCATGGTATTTTTAATATTCTTTAACCATAATTCAAGTGCATCGATTTTTCTATGGTCTTCGTAGTCAGTGTCCAACTTTAGCATGTACATGAGGCCACTGAAAATATGGTTTGGGTCAGGTGAACCTTCGTCCTTAAAGTGACATATTTGCAGCTTAACACTTTTAAGTGTTTGAAAGAGGTATTTTGCAGTAGATCTGTTAAGTGCAACACGTCGTTTGATTTCTTAACTGCTGCTGCCATCAACACTGATTGTGCATCCAAGCAAACTAGAGTCCCTGACAACTTGTCTTTTTTCCATTGATGAAGATGTTATTTATTGGTCCAATTGTGAGGATTTTGTTTCTGTTATTTTACATTGAGGTACAATCCATTCTGAAGGCTTTGATCTTCTTTAATAAGTATTTTAGTCATTGTTTACAGCGAGCATGGTTGTGTTACCTACGTATTGCAGGTAAACAAGTCTTCCTCCAATCCTGATATCACATTCTTCTTCATATGATCCAGCTTCTCTGTGTATTTGCTCTACATACAGATT